ATTCAAAATGTGGTGACAAAACATGGCCCCTACATTTGGTGGCAAAGGCAGTGTTTCTGAAACATTCTAATTTCTCAGGAAGCTAAGGGTACCTTTAAAATGTCCTGTGATTAATTAAAGCAACTTGCCTATAAGAAAAGAGATAATCCCATTTTTGATAATTGCTTCATCAGAGGTTTGCAGTGTCAAATGTCTGTGAGGATGGTGGTGTCCAATGAGAAATACATTCCTTGTATAATTCCTATGCTAGTAAGAGCCAAAAATGGGAATAAAGGTATGTTAGTACAAAACATATCCGGAAGGATTGAAATGGTGCTGAACAAGTTAAGATAAAATCTTAAGGTAAAATATGTCTCTTTCAGTCTTGTTCTAACTATTTAAAGTATTTGGTCAACTTCTGTCTCTAATTTCAGTACGTGTTCTGAGAAAACAAAAAGACAAAAATCCTTGTATCAGCAAATATAATGTGATGGTGCTGTGGAAAACAAGCCTAGACAGCTTTTTCTGTTTACCTCACATTGTTTCCTCCGTGTGTCCCTATACCCTGTTTATTTTTACTTTTTATCTTTTTGCTTGCCTTTCCTGTCTAATTTCAAAGGGCTTTTTTTAGTCTTTAAACTTTTAGCTTGACTGATTGAAGCACAATTTAAATCTGATATTTTTTTAAACAAACAAACAAAAAAAAACCTTGCACATTTTTTTCTCCATGGAAAGAAGATAAATCAACCAAAAAGAAAAACTAAAATGTCTTGCTATAACACTGATACTTTAAAAAAAAAAAAAAAAAAAAAACACCACCAACCCAAGTAGATTGTAAATTTAACTTTATGTCTATTTAAAGTAGTAAGAAGGAAGCAGAAACGCTTTTATTTTTTTTCTTACAGGCTACGCTGGATACCTTTCAAACAGGTGGGCAAAGAGCACCACCACAAAGCCATGAATCATTGGTATCTTGCTCCTACTTAAAACCCACAGCAAATCAATTCTGGTTGGACTAGAAAGAAAAACGTGTCCAGGGAGCCCTGAAGTCTTCTAGGGGAAAGCCACATATGTTGCAGTTTCCATCATGTTAGCTCCATTAAGGCTGTTACTCGTAGTCTGGGTTAGCTGCTAAAGAGAAAAGTAATTCTGTGAATTCTGTGTCTACTGTGCTAAAATCACAGCTGCCCTGCATATACACTGAAGGGAATACTATAGTACAGAATAAAAGGATGCAATAAGAACATGCAACACAGCAATTCAGTTCATCCTTAAGCACATACTTAATTTGCAGCATACTGGAGTAGCTTCAATTATTTCAATGAGAATATTCCCATAAACAGTGTCATGCAGAAATGTTTGCAGAACTGAAGCCTTCACTTGGTGGTGTGTTTAAACAGCTTCACAAAAGTTGTCTATGTTCCTAATCAGATGTAAATTGCTGTTATAGCCTCCCAAGACATGAAAGTGTTAAAATGTTAAAGAAATAACAGTAATTAGTATTATACTCTTTAGATACTTTGCTATAATATAAATAATGTAATAAGATTTTCACTGAAATACTATTTGCCTGGCTTGCAGTGCTTCTTTCAGATGAACTCCTCTTTCCTCTCTATCTCTTAGATACTACCTTTGTATTTTTTAGCACTAGATTTACCCAGGTCTGTTCTGTACCGCTGTCTTCGTTTTACAGTTTATTTGCTCTTTTAGATGTACACTGTATATAGGATTATAAAATTATGCTATAGTATTTTGGGTTTCATTAGTTTTGACAGATGAGAAACAGCACTTTAAGTTTATCAACACTTGCTATAAAACCAAACCACAACTTACCTAAAGACAGACATAGGTTTGCCTCTTGACTGTTGATTGTGCCCTTAGTTAAATGTAACAAAACCCAAAACAACTACGCCATTACCCAATTAAACTCATCAGTAGATATGTATCACTGGAAGCAAACAGATTTCATTGAAACATTTACCTACTGTTACGTTAAACAGTTTCACAGTTTTATATTATATGTATTTGTTTTTCTTACAACATGAACATTTATAATCACTCCCTACAGTTATCAGTCTCTCTATGGGGAAAACACTGAGCTCTTCAACAACTTCCAATATAGCAAACTATTTCTTTCTTTTTTTTTTTTTTTTTTTTTTTTTTTTTTTTTTTTTTTTTTTTTTTTTTTAAATTAATCCATAATTTGGTAAACTGCTCAGCAGTAGCGTTAATTAAAATATCGGTACCTCACCATTTTATGTTGCCTAGTAAGGCTATGGCCATTATCCATTTTGTTACAAAATTATTTTTGTTGGTTTTGTGCAAATTTTCCCATTAAAAAACAATATATAAAAATGCAACATGCAATCCACAGGGAGAAAAAAAAATATAGAAAGTGCCAGTATTTTTATGGCTGAAAATAATTCCATCGCGGTAGACCATGAAGATGAAAATACAGTTGTTTACCATAATCCTATATAGATTTTTAAGCATTAGAGTTACACTGCCCATTTAAAAAATTGGTAATATGTGAAAATGTGGAGACAGCTGTAAAGTTACAGATTTGTCATACGTTGCACATAGGAACTTTGTGTCTCTTACTTCAGAAGATATTAATGTGAGTTATCAAACTGCCCAGTACTTAGAATTTACCCTGTGCCATAGATAGTTTTCATGTTTTGAATGTGGATTAATGAGAAAATACTAACTCAGTGCATATATATAAAAAAAATAATAAAAGCGTTGCTGGTTAACAACAAATCTAATTTTTGTCTCATTTAACTAATGGCATATGGAATTTTCTGCAAGGCATATGGTGCTAATTAAACATGGTACAAGTCTCCAGATCATCAATATAGCCATCAGATATCTAAGGAATGTTTCCCTTCAGTGTACATTATCTTTGTATTGATTTGATGGTCTGAATGCATAAAAGCCCTGGGAAATAACAATGTTTAATGATGTGGGAATTGCAGTTCTATTCTTATCTATATGAATGCTGCAGTTGCTGAGGAAAATTCTGAGATACTTAATAAGCAGGCAAATTATGAACTAACTAGGACCAGTTTGTTTTCATTTATTCATTAACCACTGATTTTTATATTTATCTTTAACTTTCTTTTAAAATTTAGAGCACTCTTCTGTGATTCTATATGCCAGAGAGCATGAAGTTAAAGATATTACCTGACTGTTTTAATAAAAACAATAATCTAAATTCCACAGTTTTTAATGACATTAATAAACACCTAAAACATAAGTTGTATGGTGCTAATGATTCATTTTGAAAATTTTAAAATTCTAATATACATAATGTGCATAAATACACTTTCATGTATTTGACACCAGTTGCACAAATTAAAACATTTTTTCTACTATCAGTGTAAGATATGGCTTAATTAAGCAATTTGCATTTAAATGCAAGTCCACTTTATATAATTTAAATTCTCTTTTCACTTCAAGGATATCAGCTTCCTCTACCATACAGCAGGTTAACCACTGAAAAAATTAAGAATAATGAATACTGTGTTTGTTCTGCTTTGTAATGATCACTTCAGGTAAAACAAACAACAGCAGTGAATTCTCACAGTCATTACCTGCCTACTCGTGATAGCCTAAGCAAAATACAAAATAAAACAGCTGTGTTCCCTGAGCTAATGGGAAAATGGTAAATGACCTTCCGTTAAGCAGGACTGGTCCTTGAGAAAGAAGGATGGGGTCTCAACACCACTGTATCTAGCATCAGTGGGTTATTTTTATCGAGACACTTCTCAAACCGTAGAAGAGCAGCAGTTTGCATTCTGAAAGGTAGCACTGACTCTTCCGTAGTTCCAGTGAATTTCATAGCAGTAAAAAAGACAGTACAATTTCAACAGTCCTCTGAATTGGCGAGTTTACTCAATCTACCATCAGTTGCAAAACCCACTATCACCACTAACAGAAAGAAATGAAAACTGCTTCCTAGTGCTCCAACTGTTAAATATGCTCTCTGCTTTTGATAATGAGACTTGAGAAAAACCAGCAAGAGTTAAGCAGTTTTAAAGCATCCTGACAAAGTCACACTGTGACTTTTATACCTAAAATAAAATGAGATTAAAAATAGACCTGCAATCTTATTAATAGGCTGTTACAAAACAGTTTTAACACTTAAGATACAAAAGCCACTCGCAAATAAAATATGGTGCCTAAAGAACAAATTTTTGACAATAATGTTATTTTTACACTTCCTTCCGGCTGTGCTTGAAGGTGTAACCAGAATCTTACCTGACCACAAAAACACTGCACATATCCTTCTCTCAAAGGCTCTTAATTTAACAGGTCATTTCAAAATACCTTCAAAGCATATGGAAATATTGTCCTGCAGATTTAGGATTCTTTGCTCTTGACATGCTGTATCAATTAACTGAAAACAGCAATAACATTTAATGTGGCTGAATTCTCATTATGTAAAACAAGCTGCATTTTCCTGCTCTACTCACAACTGTATTTCTATTTGTGGAACGTAAGAACTGCGCTCAGTGCCTTACTGCTCTAAGATTTCAAATATAATTTCACTTTAAAAACACACATGTCCTTAGAGGTATTTTCCAACTGAAATATCATGCAATATTAATAGTTCTTTACACATCAAGGAATCTTTCTTTCCTCCCATATACTGCACTAGAGATGCTGAAAGCCAAGATATATACAGTATGCTATATAACACTTAAAACTTAAATTCAGAAGAATGAAAAAAACCAACCCAAACCAAAAAATAAGAAAACCAGCTTTTAGCTTAGGAACAGTATTTTCACACAGCTGTAGAACATTATCTGACAAATAACTTATTTGCAGGTTGGCTCTAATTCAACAAATTAACACAGCTTCCCAATCCTGCCTTCCTGCATTTACATACCATGCATTATGCACACCAAAAAAAAAAAGGAATATACAAATAGAGATCCTTTCAGAGAACCTATGTAACCTGTCACCAAGCAGAGAATTTTTCACTGATATAAACAGAGAAGGGAAGAATTCAGACCAACCTTCACAATGTACGTCACACCAGGTCCCAGGATCTTCTCACTCGAGTGCAGCCATCCTCGAGAGGATTTATTGACAAAGCTGCTACTTTGATTCCAGTCTTCACCTCCTGCGTTCATTTCCTCTGACCGTGTTTTTTTCCCCATGCTCATCCTGCTCACGTCCTGCTGAGAAGACGAAGCGGCAGAGACAATGTTACATGTGTTGTCTGAAGCCCCTGCTGCTGAGCTAGAAGCACTCGAGCTTCCCTGCAACTTGGAGACAGCAAGTTCCTTTACTGCAGAGGAGAGGTTTTTGATACCCAAAAGGCTGCCCGTGTGAGAGAGTTTCAAGTGGGACACTTTATGGATGAGGGTACACAGGGTGGTGGGTCCATCTTCTTGGTCCTTGCGGAGAACTTCTGGCGAGACAAGGTACGAACGTGCTGTTGAAGTCGTAGCAACTGATGAGACCTTGCTGTTCATAGACAAATTGTGAATAAGATCATCAACTGATGTCACTGAATCATTCCTGAAGCGGTTATACTTGGTACGTTGAAGCATGCCCTTCTATCTGGTTTCCTGCATATGGTCTGGCAAATCTGGTGCCAGTGCAGGAGATGCCTGTGCTAACATAGCAGGCGATTCATAACAATACGGATGGATAACAAGATTTTGGGGTAAAAAAGAGTATAAGGAAGAACAAAAGAAAAATATGTATTTTTAAGAAATTTCTTATGGTTCCCTCTTAAGGTTGGGTGAAGTAATAGTTTTCTATGACAGAGATCCCAGTCCTGCTTAGAGCTGCCAACTCGCTCACAGCAAAAGCATGACTCACACAAATGAGAAGGACCCTTTTCAACAAAAGGCTCAGTGAACACTGCAAATCACTTCCTGTAGCAAAAAAAAAAAAAAAAAACACAAAAAAAATTGGCGACTGTCAACATTGCCCTTGGTGTGTTCTTTTGAGGGGAAAAAAAACAAAAAAAAGGATATA